TAATAATTCTTTAGTATATTACTTGTGTGATGTAAGAATGTTAACACTGTTATATTCTTTTTTTAGTATAATATGTGTGTGGGTAGAAGTGAATCATTTACTGCTTGCAAACCAATGATGTAAGATGATGTCATGGGGTAGGACTGGATAAGTCTGACTTCTTCCTACTCCATTCAAGCATGTTCTAGGTATAAGCAAATTGATATTGGATTATGTGTAAAATTATGTGTGTTGTCATATCAACTGTTTTTGTATGCTTGAAAGAATAAATCAAATCAAATCTCCCGAGTATGATCTGATGAAGGTCAGCTCTTTGTGAGCTTTATTTATAACCTGAGAGCACTCAGCATTTTCTAAAGTGACATCTTTGCAGAACGGGTTTTTACAAATCCTTCACCTCTCCCACACATGATTTCTTTATAAAGAAACATATTTTCCTGCATTCAACATCCAGTGGGACCTCTAACGCTTTGTGTAATGTGTTTACAATCTATCTGATACAATAGCAACTACAAGAGTCTCAGAGGAATAATAGGAAAAGAAACTCAGCATCAAAAAGGAGAATGAACTATGGTTGAACTCTGAGAGGAATGAATTAAAGATCAAGAGAATTCAAGGGCTTTGTGATTACTCCAACCAGGTAGGGCAGACTATGAGAAGGAAAGAAGAGAGACGGCTGGTGGGGAATGTTGATGTGCACATTGACCACACAGTTCACAGTGTGGACTGTTTAAAGTTTAAGGTATGTTAGGAGTTAAAATAAAGTAAAAATCCACCCTGAAACACCACAGCACTGTTAGCACACTGCTGTTGCTGAGGTATAGTTCCTCTGTGTGATAGCAGGAATACTTGTAGTATTAATAATAGTAATAATAAATATGAGGTTCTGGCTGTACAGATGAACTTTGCTTTCGAAGAGCAATTTGAAACTTCACTTTCTGGACATTCAACATCCACAAAGGAACAAATCAAGAGAAGAAGAGGCACAGATTTCCTCACTAAATGTCAACAATGGAAGTGTCAAAAAACATGTTTGTTGTATTCATCCTTTGTTTACCCACCTTTTTATAAGTAAAAGTTTAATATCCCTCATCTAGAAGTTAGATGGTATTCAGTTTAAATAGTGGAAATGTAGCAAACCATCAACCAAAGTGACAGTAAGTAAAAATAAGTACAATCCCAAAGTTTTAATACAACTCTTAACACTCTTAGTTGTTGTGTAAATGAGTAATTTCACTTTGTACATACTGTAAAGGAGGACATAATGAAGATATAAACTGGAGCTTACCTCTGGGCAGCAGGACAGGAAGGGCTTAATGTAGATGTTGGAGTCATGCACTTTTAGATTGTGGTCCCCAAGACCTCTTGTGACTCCGATGGTCGCCAACACACGAGCCTGCGAAATATCAGATACACAACCTCTGGTTTAGTCAACAATAAACTCACTAGTGTTAAAGGTTCAGCTTCTTTAATATAGTGCTTTTTTTGTTCACCCCATTACCACAAGAATAAACCTGGTGTGGCTCATGTAGAAGTTCTTTCATGGTCTTTTAATATGTACTGAAAAGAGGTGCAAAAAGGAGACTAAAAGGACATTATTTTTGTGGCTTTGGCTATAAAATTCATTTCTATTTTTTATGATAACCTTGTGCTCAGTGTACTTTCTACGATCTGGGAACATGATATCATTGCTGCAACAAATTCAAGCAGATTCAATGCAGCAGATTAGCCAGATTATTACTGAAGCATTTTATTTGGAGGTGAGAGTTAAGCAACTGCATTCAAAATGTTCATAATTCCTCACTGCACAGGAAGGCTGTGTGTGCACAATGACAGCACGGCACGTGCAGTCAATTGATTGAAACCGGACCAAAACTACTAAAATAAGACTAAAGAATTAATAAACTGGAATTCTCTGTTATGCCTAACATGTCTAGTAAGTCAAGTATGGCCAAAATGGAAAACTTCAGGAGTGATAAGTGCTTATTAAAGAACATTCTCTTATCTCTGTAGGTGTTCCTGAGCTCAAACCACTACAATAAACTGCTAGTGTTCATTAAGCAGGTTTTAATATACTCTGTGTGTGTGTGACTGTTAAGCAAGATATTTGTGACCTGAGAGGACATCCCATACTCCTCACTGTCAAGCCTCCTTGGATGGAGTAATTAAAACACTGTCTTCCCTGAGTCTGTCTCATTCACTCCTGATACTTGTAAAAACTAGCCTGCATCATGTCCTTAATGACATTTTATTGATGGATACAGGCTATTCCTGGTGGGAATATTTATCTGGATGGATGAGCAGCATTTAGGTAAATAAACACACATCATCAGCATTTTCCAGTTTTGAGTGCTTAATGATGGCTCCCCAAGCCCCAGATGCCATAAAACTCATTTGTGAGCTGTACAAAACTCTATTTGATTCCAACTGTCTGCACAGATTGCCAGCGCAGCCTCTAAAAATGGCTGCTGGCACAGGACTGGGGAACTGGGCTAATTGAATCTGCTGTACATTGTATCAGAAATGGTGGCACATAAGGACAGGGAGAGGAGTAAGAGGGCAACTGAGGCCTGGTAGGGATGAGCTTGGATCAGTATGCAGCACAGAGAGGGAGAAAGAAGGGAGAGCGTTTCAAACTGGCGGCAGAGCTCCTCCGGCAGAGAAGGGGAAACATCCTGGGATTAATTGTGGAGTGTTGGGGCCCAGCAGGCTGTGTGCTGGGCTTTGAAGTGCTTTGGTGTTCCTCTCCCTTGCACAAAGCCCCCTCACTCTATCTAGCCATCCATCTCCACAACTGACTTCAAAGGATGCGACATGGGCGTGGCCAGCTGTGCAGGGGTAAATCCTAGTGTGGGTACAAGCAGAGAGCCCCTGCCCCAGCCATCAGTCAAACATATGTCTGCTGCCTTAAACAGAAAAGTGGAGAAGGCCACAGTGAGAACATATTCACATCTATCATGTTTCCTCTCTGACCTTTTCAGTGTAACAAGGACGAGATGCTGCACGCCACCACATGTACAGCATCACTGAGGATAAGGAAAATGTAAAAAACGGTGTTCTGAGCTCTTGACCTTTTCTTTTGTGTCAAAACATTGATGAGATTTTCCTGCAAGTCAGTGTTTGAGTAATGTGGTATTCCAATTAACATATGTCACATTTTGGACACATTTCATCACATTTTCATCATCTCAGCTGGCTCAGAATGTCGCATTTGACCGCTAGCTGGGTTTTACATGTTGGGGGACTAAAAGCACAAAGTTCATTAGAGCATAGATCTCTCCAAAGGCTGGGGCAGGATCTGAATCCTTGTGGGAAACAAAGGGAACAGACTAATTTTGCCCTGGCAAGCCTTGATTACAGGTGAGGCGCACAAGGCCGTGGGAGTAACTCTGTCAGCAAGCAGCCACCAATCACATCATCTTACCTTCTTCCCTTCGCCGTAGATCAGGGGAAACTTTAGGTCATCATCCTCAATGGTTTTATACGCCCTGCACAGACAAGAGAGGACACTTTAATGGATTTTTGGTTTACGGCAGGCAGTGTACATGTGCTGTACCTTCCCTCCGTGCACCCCCCTGTAAGCCATGCTGCTCTACTGACTGGCACAGAGAGAAAGAGTAGGGAGATGGTAAGGAAATCATCCAGACATCACATAAAAAACACAGAACCTTAGCTTAGGTCTCACTCTTTTTCCCTTTTTCTAACTGGCCCAGTAAAAGTGAAGAGTCTATGGATGTTTGGGACACTCTACTGTTTACTGTGACAATCTGTAGCAGCTATATCGGTGCGTGTATCTGAAGGTCTTGCTGTAAAACTGCTGAATGATGCAAGAGTATGTTTAAACTTCCCCAACTGATTCATATTTACTATCTTCAGGCTGGAACCAGGCAGAGCTGCAGTACAAATAAAATCATATTGTATGTTTTCATGCCAGGTATTAAGATTCACTTTTCACCGTCACAGCTCCGAAACTTGCAGTGAAGACATCTTGACTTCTTGCTCATAGTGAGTATATTACTTTTCCATCCATGAACAGTTTTACTTAAGAGGAACAGCTGTATCACTGTACAATACCAGAAACATTACAAATTTGAGCCAATTTCCAGGACAGCTGCCAGGACAAACTTTCCTATTCACAACTCACACCAGGTGTTGAGAATATGAAAATCTGTCTTGCTATGAACTCATGGCCTGGATCAAATAATACAGTATTTTCTTTATTTTAGCCTTTAAACTAGAGGACATTAAGGAAGAAGTGATCACAACTGTCATAAAAGGTTTTTTTTTAAAGCAAAAGTAGAATTCTTTGATAGTAAAATATACAAAAATGCAGCTTAAAACCTTAAAATGTTGTGACCCAGGCCTGGCCTATACACCTTATCCAATGTATTTTTAGCTGCTGTGAAGCAAATTAGCAGGGACCGAGATGGTTTTCACATTACTGCTGGTTCCACTCAGAGAGACCATATGTTTCCACCTTAGGCGAGCGCTATACTGCTGTACTCAGCACTTTTTTAACAGTGTGCAGAGTGAGGACTATCACAGCGAACACAGCCCACAAACACAGAAATACAGTCTGCAGCCCAAGACTCTTCTGAGCAGAGAGGTGTAGCTCAAAATAAGGATCCATGAAAGTGTTTCCTCACCAATGACTACAATGTTCACGGTGTGGAAAAACCACTAAAATAGCAGTTTGATGATGTGAAACTTAAACTGAGCATTAAATGAGGAACTAATGACTGTAAAGTGGAAAAAATGGAAGCACCAAGTCTGCTGCCATTTCACTCCAAACTTCTTTCATTTAATTATTTCACCTCCAAGAAATCTCCAAAAAAATAAATAAATAAAAAAAATAAAACTACAACATAGAGACACAAACCTTTTATCATCATTTATCTTGGAGGATATCCCCAGACCCTGCCTTCAGGGACAGTCTCCCTGTTGAGATGCCCATTTACAATGAACCCAGACTGTGACACTCGAGATAAAGAACGTGTGACAGAATGAGAGAGATATACATGAATCCTGTTATGAGTTGTGCTCCCTGCTCTGGGACACAGTGCCCCAAAATCGGTTGCTCGCAGGCTGTGCCAACACAGAGCACTTTCACATTCAAAGGCTATCTGGTCGTCTATTATGTTGCAGTGTGTGACTGACTGAGAGAGAGACTGGGGGCGGGGGGGTGCAGAGGAAGAGAGGGATGCAGAGAAGGAGGGAGGGGTTTATCATTCTCTTTGCAGGTGACGAGAAACCAGCAGGAGGGGAGGGGGGTGATGTCATCTCCGCTTGGTGCAAAGAGAGGTGACAGAAAAGCATTAGCAGTGTATGTCCAGCATCATTTGATCTGTATTCAAACTGTTATATAGTACATGCCTACTCACAGAAACCGGACACACACGCCTGCAGACAGACGTAGTGACACTGACGTGGGCCTGTGTCAGTGCTAAACAAGACAGTAAATAAACATTCTGGCCAACCCTGATGGGCATTTTATAAACTGAATGGTGCTTTCAGGAGTAAGCCATGGCCAGAGTTATGGCAGTGACCCGACAACTCTCCAGATGTACAGTAATTTGTAGGCATCAGTCATACTGGCACAGCGGTAGGGGAACAGAAGCAGAAGAGGGTGGATGTGTGTGATGAAGGTCTGCGTTTGGTGTGCGTCTTTCTCCTGTCCAACACAGTGGGCATGGACACTAAAGAGACACAGCCCTTCACTTTCATTTATCACTGTCATCTTTATTTTTCTTTAAACATGCAAAGCTTTTCTTTCTAGACTTTTCCTGCTTTATCTCAATTTCCATTACAAGGTTATTTAATTTCTCCCTGTCAGTGAAGCCATTTTCTTCTAATTTGTTCTTTTTTTTCCTATCTCTGTCCTCTCCAGGCATCCGCCCTCCTCCCCACCTTCTCTCCTGGCTGGCTGGTTTATGGTGACATTTGGATCATGTCCAACATGGCTGACCACTCAACATCTATCATTACCAGGACATTTAGCAAACAAAACCCCACTCCATCACAGTTGGCAACATCAAAGCCAGCTCATATTCTGGTCCAACTGTCCAAGGGAAGGGAGGAAAAGAAATCTTTGGAGGAAGACAGAGGTGGGCTGCAGACCTGTGTGCCCTCATTAGAGCATGGCTTTGATCGTGGGTGCCTTTGAGGAAACTGGATGCTGGCGTACACCCACACACACGCAGCGTGTGGGCAAACAGGTTGCACACACAGGCAGGAGAGTGCATGCATGCATAGACATAAAAACATTATCCTCTGTACCTAACTGAACTGCACCTATACAGGACGACACAGTTCAAAGTCACACCCTTGCACATCAGAGCTGACAGAGCAATAATTTAAGACCCAGACTTAGTCCAAGTGAAACTGAAGCAGAACTGGGTTATGGGGAGAACTTCATTAAAAATACATCACAGGTCGTCTGCACTGCTGAGGCAGTAAGCAGGCAGACGACAGGCTGAGAGGTCTGGGCTCAGTAAGGAACACGGCCACTAACTGACCTACATCTACTGAACCGAATGGTGCCACAAAACACAACCGCGGGGAGGTGGGGTCAGAAAGGTCTGCTTTGTCATCACTCGCCTTGGTTCTCTGCCACTTACAGTAGATCTATATGCATGACATGTTCTACATTTTTTAAAAATGTGCTTAGTGTTAAATAATTTAGCAGGAAGCCAGAGAGAGACGCTCACTGACATATATTCAATGACTTAAAAAGGGAAAAATAAAACTGTGATATCTTTACAGTTGCTGTGTTGCACGCGCATTGCATTTTACATGAAGACAATATTTAATTTATTAAATTAGTTTATTTCAATGAATCAACCCACCATCCAGACATGGTGAAGTCACGGTACAGCATCCTCTTCCCCACCTCCTTCCTCTGCACTCTCCTTGGGAACTCCAGATGTGTAAACTCATTCCCTAATAAGTGGGGCTGCATGTAGGCCTTTAAAGTGACAAGAACAAAACAGATAAAGAAGAAGAGTGACATGCCTAAAGGACAGAAAAACAATTCCATAGTCTATTAAACTGGCAAAGAGAGCAGACACGGTAAGAGACTGAGCTAAGCATAGCCAGTGTCTCGGGGGAGGGGGGGAGAGGGTCAGCGCTGCTAATATCTGACAGCTGTGCTGGCTAGAAAGGAGCTGAGAAAGGTTCTTTCTTACCAGGAACTGCAGTCGCTGTCTCTCCGACTCCGGGGTGAACTCTGCTGACATGGGGATGACTTCGCCGGCCCTGATAATGATAGCTCTGAGAAAGAAGAGCAGAAAAAACAAAACTCTGCTTATTTAAGCTGGGACACTGTTGCACACGAAGGTGAGCCTTTTATCACGTATAAGGGTATGCTCACTTTGTGTGTATCTCACCTGCTGTCCCCAGCATTTCCAACATAGAGCTTTCCAAGTAAATACACCGCCACCAAAGCAGTGCAGCCACCTGAGATGTTGTAGACTGCCTTCTCCTTTTCTATCTGTATGTCCTAAATATAAACACCCACACACACACAAATTAATCCTTAAGATTAACAGCACGTAATCCAAACCTATCCTCTACTCATAATCAAGTTTCTAATCATCACAACCTTGACAAAGTCTTTCCTATCTCACAGCAGCACATAGAATTTAAGCAAGAACCTGATGCTGAATAAAATATTGCCCCAATACTTGAAATCCATCATGATGCTATTATTAATTATAGCAACATAATGAATTCATTTATCAAGAGCATCATAAGTCAAGGAGCAATAAAACAGACTGGAAACCAAAAGGACAGAAGAGAAAATTTTGAGGGACTGCTAGTTATTAAACCAGTTAATTAGCCCAGATTAATTTGGTGCTAATTAAACAAAAAAATAAGATTTGAAAAAACCCCATGCTATCAGCTCATTAAGTAGATGAATAATTAACCCGTCAGTGAATTAATCAAAATGCTAACATAAATTTGAACCAAGCTGCTCTCACTTGGTTTAACCCTTTGGTGGTTCCTGTCTAGCCATTGTTGGTCTGCTGTTAACGGCCCCGCAGTAAGCAGGAAGGATGACCCCCCAAGGCACCTCCTTTGTTTCTCTTCATCACTATCAACAGATTGAGCTGGATGAAAAACATGTGCAGCGAGTCCATCCTTAACACGTTTTCCCAGGAGGGATGTTTACCCCACCTGAAGCCCATCGCCTGCTGCTACTGTTTACATGAGTCCCTGCACCACAGTACCTGTACAGTACCTGGGAGCTACAAGTCAGGCCAGAAATCCTTTCTCTGTGTTGTCTGCAAAATTATTGGAAGAGCTGAAAGTTATACAGCCTAAAAACATGAAGAGAAAAATAAACTCTGGAACAGTGATGCCAAAAATGGAAGTCGGAAAAGATGGAGAACCACGATGAGACAGGTAATTAACTAAATTAATCATTTTTAAGTAATTAGCCAAAGCAGTGACATATCAGTTGTTTTTCAGGGAAAAATTGACCTCTGGGCATTAAAAAATTCATTTAACGCTCCTTTAATAAAGCATTAATAGCCCACTACCAAGACAAACACTCAGCCACATATCTTGCCTTTGTGACTGTCAATATTCATGCAGTAATGGAAAAGTAGAATTGAGTAATGTACTCACTTTACAGAGAAAAAAATTGGTCATATTTTTAATATCACATTATCTGAATCAAGCTCAAAACCTAGATTTCAGCTGATTAATGCCGTGTTATTTTACTAGATTTTATCGTGACAGAACAAGTGTCCAGCAGTAGTTCCACTGTTATTGGTACGACTCTGTGAAGCAAAATCACCTTAACATTAACCAAAGATTCAAAATGACCCTTCCAACCCACTGCCTCACCCTTACACAAGTATTAATTGTACCTAGCACAAGAAGACTCCACCAAGATTTCCCTCATCATGGCTGACTAGCTGGATTATTAATTGCACACTACCACCTTGTGGTTAAAAGGTGGAAGCACCACAATGCATTGATTGTATCTGCACTGCCCTCTATCAAGATCTAATTTAGCTTCACCCAGTAATTTCACTATATATTAAATCAATTCACTCATTCATTCAAATTGTTTCCATTTATGTTTTTCTTTAGAACACAAGGGCCTCTGTATTCAGATTACTGCTTATATTTACCTTGTATTCTTTAATACATTATGACCTGTATGTGTGATCTGTGGAACTATGAGTTGAATAACAGAGTGACAGAAAATAAATCAACTATATTCATTATGGGTTAATTGTTAAGATAGCAACCGTCCTTTTTTCAGCTTCTCAAATATAAATATTTTCCAGATAAATCAGTTTTCCATTAAAATGACTTGAATATATTTGGGTTTTGGTCTTTTGGTCAGACAAAACAAGACACTGTAAAACAACCATGGCTTTTGTGATTGATGACAAGAAAATAATTAGTAGATACTCAATAATGAAAATAATCATTAGTTGCAGCTGGAGGGGGATATCAGTTTGTATTTTATTGGCCCCTTTGACCTCTTCATCCTCAAAGCCTGCACTGTTTTGATTGGCTCTGGTCTTGGTCACTTGGCCTCTACATGAGGAAAATATCCAGCATCCACTTACAGCACAGCCAGATGGCGCACATGTGTGTCACCTGGACCAGCTAGAGGGGAAAAGTACATCTTCTGGCTCTGTGACTGTTTGCTGACTAACTGGGACTAACTGTGCTTCTTAGCCATCCAGGTCATGGTATATCTGAGGTGCTAACGTTGGTGAGTGGACTTGCTTTAGCATCACATCTCATCACTGACACCTTGAGGGCTGCTGAACTCACATATCGGCCATTAGTCCACCTGTATTTACAGTGCAGTGAAGACCTTATCTGCAAAACCTTTCATACTTCTACATCATGCTAAGCACACCTCTTACCATTTCTTTGAAGGCATTCTCAATGGCTCCCATCACCAGGCTCTCATGTGAAACTTTCTTCTCAGTAAAAAAGCGTGTGGGCGGGGTGTTGGGTGAACCCGGAGCCCCTGCAGCGCCCCGGAGCGAGGCAGCCCTGGTAAGGGCACGTTGGGATGTCGGGGTGAGGTGGTGATTGATAGGTTCCTCACCCAAGCATGTGGGTGGCAACAGGTTTGGAGTGCACAGGATTTCCAACACCTCCTGAAGGTGCAGGGCAATGTGATGGTGGAGAAGCCGGGAGGCAACAACAGCTGCTCCAGAGCCAGCGTGGCCATCAAACAACGCCCAGTAGTGGAAGGGTAGGTCTTCTGAGCTGTCCTGGAGACACAGAAGAGTCAAACACATTTTTCCAGACTTTACTGTCAGTCTTCTATACCTTGACTGAAACTATCAGACACATCATTAGTTAAACTGCTTCCAATTGATACAGTATGCAACATGTGATGAAAGGTCAAAAGTCTCAAGCCAAAACATTTGGGATCCACTGATGTATACTGTAAATGACCAGAAGAATAGTACCACGCAGGCATTAAATGGTTTACCCCTGAGTAGAGCTGTCACTAATCATGGCAGCACCACAGGGCGGAAGCTGCATAGTCCAAATGCAGACACATGTAGACATGAGTGCTGCCAAAGTTTATTGTTGAAAGCTCCTGTTCTGTGGACACCTTAAGATCTGAAAGTGCTCTTCCTCTTGGGGATGCAGCATGTCCATGAACAGATGATATAGCTATGGTGTTAATATATGCTCAGACACCATTGCTTCAATCTGCAAGTTTTAATGGACCTGGCACAAAACTGTATACTGTCTGTGACAGAGTGGTAACTCCCACATAATGTTTAGACAAAGTGTCATGTGATCTGGTTCAATCATTGCGGACCTTTGAAATGACTGCTTGCTGTTAGCACATACAGTATGTCTGCACACAGTAAAGCTCTGATTTAAGCCGGTGCAGCAAGCAAATAGCCTACAGTGGTATCAGTGCAGTAGTGAGTCATGAGGTACTTGCATAAGTTTGCTGTAGGCTCAGGGCGGGCCTGAGCAAAGTACTGGTGTGCTGAGAGGAAATTTTAGCAGCAGCATTACTAGTTTTCCACACACATACATCCAGATATAGTGTACTTGCATAAGGAGACAAGGTTAATGTAAAATCTATTTGTGTGTTTCTATGAGAAAACACTCGTTTGCCTGCCTGTCTGTATCAGTGGCTGTTGAGAGTGATGAAGGCCACTCTGGTGTGTAATGGATGCTGTGCTGTACACCCCAGTAAACTGCTGATAGGAAGGGATGTTTGATCTCCTGAGCCACAGCCGCTCCATAAGCATATGATTTATCAACTTCACATCACCAAATAGCAAAGTGGGTTTTTTTTAACTTAGGCACCCAGAAATCATGATAGATTTATCAACTTCACATCACCAAGTGGGTTTTCTTTAACTTAGGCACCCAGAAATCATGATGTCAGCAGTGCACTGACAGTATGATTACTGCTGAAGATAACACACTGACAAGAAAGGCAGTAGAGCTCACTAGAGTTTGTATATAGTTAGTTTTATTCAACACTTCCTGGGTTCATAAAATGTATCTGGAGAATGTCATTTAAGGTGGAGATGGTGATAAATGATGGTATTACCCAAACAAAAGCAGACCCATCAGTGTAACTCACCAGGTTCTCCCGGAGACCTAGGCCCTCTCCATTAGGGAGGGAAGACCTCCTGTGAGTCATCGGGGTCCGGTTGGGTGTGGTGGCTCCTGCATGTCTCCTTTTGATGACCAGCACCTCACAGCAGGCCTGGTCCTCATTTAATGTACTCTTTCCTGCATTGATCACCCTAGACAGAGGGGGGATAACATGACAAACTTCAGTTTGACTGGACGTCTAATACAAGACATGCAGAGATAATAAAAATGATTTGAAGGAAATGAAGTAAAAATAACATGAAATCCACAAATCTAGTTGTGCAACTTCAGCAGGCATCATGTGTACAATCTGTGATACTAATAGGTACAGAGTAGTATGAAATACAATATACACAAAAATATAGTTTTACACAAAATAAACATGCATTCAATATATTTTACACTTCCAAGACATGTCATCCTCACTCACATCATTTCAACTGCATCCTTCAATAAGAAACCAAAACAATTTAGTGACAGATGTGTTTTGGATTTTAAAAGGTGATTTTGCCTTGTATTTATTACCACTGAGATACTAAACTCCTGAATTTTGGTACATGATACACAAATGAAGTTATTCTAAGGGATTCTTGCTAAACGTGTTTGCTGGACACACGGCTGTTGAAAAAAAACCCACAATCCTTAGACACGGGATAGAAATCCGTCTACGTGATGATGATATACTCAGGGAAATAGTTAACAGTAATAAAGAGTACACAGTGTACTGTACAATATGTGCAGTTAATGGGTTAAAACATGGAAAACTGAATAAAAGCCAAAAAGTTAATCAAGCATGTCTGAGACCAAAGTACTGCAGGGAGTCATGTTCATTTGACCCCATTCAACAAGTGCAAGATCACAGGGTTAACAACAGTTGAGCTTTCAGGCCTTTTATCTGTGATATGCGAGGAAAAGCCACCCGCACCCTGAGGCATGAGCTGTGTCTGAGAGCAGGCCTGTCATATTCACTTGTTTCATTTCTTTACATTGGAGACAATGGTGTGACCTTAATTATCCCATCACAGCTGTAATCTACAGGGTGAAATTTTGATTCAAAGGCATTATCAGGACCCTGAGCCTATTTTAGAGATATTCTGATATTTTACAATACTTAAGTATTAGAGAATAATACAGGTCTATTGTGAAACCTTACTCTGTCCTAGATCATTCTTTGTTGCACAACCAAAAGCATGCAAAGGCGAAGCCAAGTCATAAAAACACTAACCTCGAGGCAGTGCATACTCCAAACATACCATTCACAAAGTAAAGGTGGTTATAGCTCGTCAGGTTAGCTACTCTATTCAGCAACTGTAGCACCTGTAAGCGATGTTAAATCTTAAAGTATATGCAACATGCAACTCCCACTGACACATGAATGTGGCCATATTTTTGTTACAATGGTAATTTAAATGTTACCAATAACTTTTGATGGCATATTAAATCAACGATCAGTTAATCCTTCTTGTAATCCAGGGTATTATTTTTTTCCTCTCTGCTTCCTAGTTTTTCTGGTCATGTGCGCTACTCTACTTCGTATGAAGCTTTGTTCCCTGTCCACGGAGTGTGACGTTGACTTTATTTATAGTAGGTCCTTTACAGTGTATAAAGTAGTAGAAAGGAAACCCTCCA